CCATGCGTGCTGCTTTCCTTCGCAAGGTTGAAGTGCGAGAGATGCGTGCAACGAGTCATGTTACTGATAGGTTGCTTGGATGCACAAATTTTGCAACGCCGCACGGAGCTGCGGTGGATGGAGACGGATGGAGCAGAAGAAGTACCAGCAGCAGTACTGGCATTGAGGGTACTTGCTGTCGCGGCTGCAGCTACAGCTACAGCTGGAGTATAGTAGTAGTAGTAGTAGTCGTCGTCGTCGTCGTCGTCGTAGTCGTAGTCGTAGTCGTAGTCGTAGTCGTCGTGGTCGTAGTCGTAGTCGTAGTCGTCGTAGTCGTCGTCGGCAGCGTAGGAGTCGTCGTCGTAGTAGTAGTAGTAGCAGCAGCACTGGCAGAAATGACAGCAGCAGTAGTACTCGATGCCTGCCAGGCTTGGTTCTGCTGATTTTCGTGCTGGTTTGGGTGGCACAGTGGCCACCCAGGACATTGCATAAACATCAGTGCAGTTTCTGGTAGACTATATGTATCTGTGTACACATAGACGTGATGCATAGAGTTATATAAGGATACAATGTTGGAATGTGCCCACACATACATACGACCGTCCATACATACATACATATATACATAGCTTAAAATGTACATTCATGACTGCATGTGTGCAGCATACTTAGCTGGTGTTATGTGCTTCTACGCTTAAGGCTGCCATCCGCCATCTCGGTTAAGGGGTTTGCAAGCTGCCGTAAGGTTTTGTTGGGGGGCTTCGGGAACTATTAGTTCTGCTGTTTATAGGTGAGGGTAGCCATTTTGGCTCAAGTTGCCAAATTTAAGCAGAGACAGTCACAGCCAGGCAGTCCTCGTTCAGGCATGGCCGAGCCTTCGTGGATCGACCAAGTGCACGCAGCCGAGGAGTCGTGGATAGCCCTCGTCAGCCTGGACGGGGATATCCTGGTGAGTCTATGGCCAATATCCCTTGTCAGACCATGGGTACCATGGTGGTGGACACCGGCTTAGGTACGGCGTCTTGGCACCTCAGTTACAGTAGCTCAACCACTGAGGAGACGGAACCAGCCCAACCGGACCAGCCTTCTCAGTCATGGGCAGACCAGCTTGATGGAGTTGAGTCTTCCAGCCTTACCCAGGACACCATGCCCCTGCAGGAGCCGTTTGGCAGCTCCATGTCACACAGCACAACTTCAGTCCTCAGCAAAGCCAAGCCGAAGGGTGGCTCGCACAGTGTTCCTGTCAAGGCGCCTCCGCGCCAGCAGGAGGACCCAGCCGTCCCAAGCCAGACTACTCAGGCACAGCCAGGTCAGGCCACACCGGCGAAGGGCATGCTGTCTCAGCCCCAGCCACCCTTGGCCACAGTCGCTGCACAGCCGCCCGCGCCAGGACAGCCCGCAGCCAAGGCACCCACAGTCTCTACTCCGCCGCCTTTCATAGTGGCAGTGGTGCCGCCGCCCCAGCCAGTCGCAGACCCGCCAGTGCAACAGCCAGGTCCGCAGCCCGAATCTCAGCCAGGTGCACGCGGGGTGCAGCCTGTTACAGGCGAGTTGCGAGCACTCGCAGTCACAGGCCAGACCAGGCACAGCCGGCCTCAGCCATTCCAGCCTGACATGAACAGTCTTGCTCCGGTCCGCAACAACTTGGTGGGGTTTAACGCGGGGATATACTTCGCACACTTCAGTGCGGTAGGAGCACACGGCCCTGCTCCCAGCCGTCCCACCGCACAGTACAGCTGAGCCAAGCCAGGGACCAGCCGCTTGCCAGCCACACTGAGGCAGCACGGCCATCGTACCGATGGCTTTTGCTTGACACTTGCCCGCGATGCTACTCCCAGCTGCTCTTTCGAGTAGCCAGTGCGCCGAACGCCATAGACAGTACCAAATTACAAACACTGTTGTTAGACAACATGAAACCAAAAGCCACCGACTCAGTCGCCTCAGCCGTCAACAGACTGCTCTTTGAAGCAGGCACATTCGTAGTCGCGGAACTCCGCAGCAGCCTGGAACAGCCCTGGAGAGAAGCAGTCGGCTGCAGGCACTGCAGGCGAAGCTAGGCAGCTTCAAAATCTCAGGACAGTACGAACCAAGCCATCAGCTGACCGATGCCTTTAGCAGCATGTTGTCTGATCAGTCAATCAGGCATGTGCCGCTAAATCGATGCAGCAGCCGCGAACAGGAGGTCAGCAATGTAAAAAGGGACGAGCATCTCCTCAGACTGGAGAACTCAGCCCTTCGCCTTGCCTCCAAGCCCCAGCCGCTCAAGGTAGACCTGTCCTCAGAACTCACGGTAGCCCAGGCGCTTAGTCGCAGGGGCTTGGCCATTGAGATGGCCGGCTTGGGGGCTTTTGAGGCGTCCCGCAGCCTGCTCCGGGCATTGATGCAGTCCTCAGAGCGGACGGCGAAATGTGGATCAGGGTCGCCGAGGAGGTGGGCAGTGATTTTGTCAGTCCTGGGAAGTCAGGTGCAGTCGACGATGCCATCATGAAGTGGCAGCACAGCGTGCAAATTGCTTACTTCCTAGTGCCTGTGCCTAAGCCTGAAAAGCCAGACAAGCCCCCAGGCAAGCGTACCTGGACTCAGTCGCCACACCGCTAAAGGAAAGTTCCTGCAGCAGGCTTGGCAGTCCGGCAAGGCAGGCAAGGGTAAGGCAAGGGCTGGACCCCAACTTCAAAGGTCAGCCGATTTGCTTCAATCACAGCCTTCCTCACGGCTGCAGTGAGGAGACTTGGCAGACGGACTTAGGCCTCAGCTGCTGCAAAGAACTCCACATATGCATGAAGTGTCATGGAGATCATTCATACTCTGCATGTGACAAGTGAGGTCACCCTCACCCTTCTGAAGCCTCAGTCGTTGTACAGACAGTGACGCCGCAGCAGCCAGCCGCAGCCGAAGCGCACGACAGAGTCCAGTCGCTCCCTGAGCAAGAGCAGCTAGCCCATGCAGTTCCTGAATCAGCTAAGGACACTCCCAAGCCAGCCTTGCCAGAGGAACAGGAGCAGTCGACTGAAGTTGTTGCCACCAGTTCTGAACCGTTGCAGTGTCCAGCTTGTCCGACAGACGGTCCAGACCCGAGGCTCTCTCGGCTAAGGACAAGAGCCTTCCGCCGAAGTCAAGTCCTTCGGCAGATCCTGCCCGAGGGGCCCTTTTTCTCGAGATCTTTGCAGGCACCGCGCGGGTGTCGCGCACTTTCTCCAGATTAGGTTTTCAGGTCCTTGCAGTTGACTCTGTCAAACCGCAAGGCGTAGCCTCCCTTAGCCTCGACCTGTGTAAGCCTGCCAATCAAAAGCTTGTCTGGGATCTGATAAGGTCCAAGAGAGTGGCAGCCGTTCACCTAACCCCTCCATGCAGCACCAGCAGCGCGGCCCGCACTCTCCCCAGCCTCTGCGCAGTCCTCAGCACCCCGATGGGTTGCCGGGCCTAGGTTTTCTCAGCCGGCACAGAGTCAACGCAGCCAATAAGCTGTACCAATTTACGGCAGATGTGAGTCAGGCATCTGTTGGTCTCTTGAGAACCCCAAATCCAGTCTCTTCTGGCTCTGCAAGCCAGCTACAGGTTAGTGCAGGCAGTCTTGCATTGTGAGCAAAAGTTCCTCATTCAGTCCTGGTTCGCCAGAGTGCCCAGCATCAGCAATCCAGCTGATGCACCAAGTCGGGGCGAGAAAGCAAACTTTTTAGCCACAGCACAGGAGAACATTATCAAGGTCGGGTGGTTGCGCTGTTTTGCCAGAGGAGCTGTTCCCAGGTGCCTCCTGCAGCCGGCAAATTGAAAGGAATGGGGGCCGGAGCCGTCTCCACTCCAGGTCGCATCCTTGAACAGCCGGGCGCAGTCGCAACTTCGAGGCGTTTGCAAGGGGGCCCCTCTTAGCCGAAGGCTGACAAATGCAGCCGCCATGCAGACCGAACAGACTAGCAGTTGCTGGATGAACCCCACCTTGGAAAATGTGTGCTCCTCCCTCTCTCTCTCTCTCTCTCTCTCTCTCTCTCTCTCTCTCTCTCTCTCTCTCTCTCTCTCTCTCTCTCTCTCTCTCTCTCTCTCTCTCTCTCTCTCTCTCTCTCTCTCTCTCTCTCTCTCTCTGTGCTCTGCTCTCAGTAGAGTGGTGTGCCGCCGTTAAGCCATGTATGCGAGCATCAAGCTTTACCTGCCGGCAACGTCCATTTTCGCTCAAAGTTGCCAAATTTCAGCAGCCCACCCTCCACTCCCTATGAGACTGTCTTAGATCCGTCTTGGGAATGCGGATTTGGCTTTGGCTCAGTCAAACGTAGTCGTGTGTTACCCTGGGAGCAGCCTGAGTTCAGCTTTGTCGCAGACGACAGGAACTTTCTCGACCACTTGCAACAGTCTCTTCTGGAGCCCCCCGAGCCGGTGACTCTTCCAGTTCCAGTCAGCCCTCAGACCAAGGCAGTTAGCCCTGCAGCAGCTCCCTCAGCCCAAACTGAGGACACTGTCTCAGTGGAAGCCGCAGGACAGCCAGGCAGAGCGGCAGGCTGCCGTGTCCAAGTGGAGCCAGCTAGTCAAAGCAGTCCCGTACTTCTTCCCTGAGCAGACCCAGTTGAAATTAGTACATGAGGACAGTCAGGTGGAGCTCGGTAACTTTGACCTAGGCTTCGCCAAGAAGAGCACGAACACCCTACAGAGTCAGCAGTCTTCAGCGCTTTGCAGCGTGGGCACTCAAGGCCTTTCCTCACGAGCCTCTTGGTGAAGCCCTAGTCTTTCTTTACTGCCAGCAGCTCAGTCAGAAGCAGACAGGGTCCAGTGCGCCTGACCAGTTGTGTCAAGCGCTCAACTTTGCCTGGGGCGTCCTGGGTCTGCAGACGCCCTCGAACTGGCTAGCGCGCCAGTACAGGGACGCGTGCATCAGTGCATGAGGCAGCAGAGACCACTGCAGCAGGCACCAGCCTTGACCACAGACCAAGTCAGATGGTTACAGACGTTTGCAGAGTCCGATGAAAGTCAGTACGAGGGATACTTGGCAGCCGCGTTGTTGTTTATGATTTACCCCGAGCCCGTCACAGTGGTGCATGAAGAGCGCCGTTCCAGACTCAGACCAGACGTTGTTAGGTTACCACAGTCAGGGAAAGAGCTCCAGCGCCCGCAGCTACGGGCGCGACGCGCTGGCTGGCCCACTGCGGGCGCTGGAGCAGGTTCTCACGGACATCAGGGATGGCAAGTCCAAGCCAGACCAGACCAGACAAGGTCAGGTCGCTGGAGCAGCACAGCCGTGGCAGCTGCCGTCGTCGCAGCCGCCGCCAGCCCTGATAGACCAGCAAGAACCGCAGCCACTGTCAGACTCAGTCAGCACCGCCGAAGAGCCACAGTCTGAAGGCTCGTCCGGAGACGATGTACAGTTGCTGCAACGTGTTAGTCACAGCTTAGCCCTTGCCGCAGGCAACAAAGACTTTCAGTTCCTGTCGCACGTTAAAAGCGGTATAGTGCACATCAGTCGCAAAGAGGCTGATCGCTTGCTCTGTGGCCGCACAGTCGACTTCAGTCGTGCACAGGCCTGTTTGACGTGCCAGTCCGTCGCGGACGGCCTGTGTGCTTCTTAGCCGGGGCCGGAGCAGCCGGATGCAGTCGCAACTTCGAGGCGTTTGCAAGGGGGCGAAGGCAGACAGATGCAGCCGCAGTTTGGGGCGTCTGCGTTGCAGCGGCAGTTTGGGGCTCTCGCCTCGCACTGGCCACGCAGTGCCTGATCAGTGCTAGAGGCTTTCCTCAGTCCAACTACAGGTTAGTGCAGGCAGTCTTGCATTTTGAGCAAAAGTTCCTCATTCAGTCCTGGTTATGCACCAAGTCGGGGCGAGAAAGCAGACTTTTTAGCCACAGCACAGGAGAACATTATCAAGGTCGGGTGGTTGCGCTGTTTTGCCAGAGGAGCTGTTCCCAGGTGCCTCCTGCAGCCGGCAAATTGAAAGGAATGGGGGCCGGAGCCGTCTCCACTCCAGGTCGCATCCTTGAACAGCCGGGCGCAGTCGCAACTTCGAGGCGTTTGCAAGGGGGCCGCTCTTAGCCGAAGGCTGACAAATGCAGCCGCCATGCAGACCGAACAGACTAGCAGTTGCTGGATGAACCCCACCTTGGAAAATGTGTGCTCCTCCCTCTCTCTCTCTCTCTCTCTCTCTCTCTCTCTCTCTC